CCTTAGCACATGCATGAGTATCCACCAATGTCTTTATAGCATAAGTGTGTTTATGGTCCACTTTAGATCATCGAGCTAAAAAAACATTTAGTCTTACATTTTACCCTTACCCTATAACTCTCATTTTTTCCAAAGACGATTTCCCTACCATTCAATACCGACCAATCACGAATTACATCTCCAAAATCAGCTAGACTATTAAATTACATGCCCCACTTAAACTGGTAGTCCTTATTAAGACGTTTTTTCCTAAAATTTTCAAACTCGGGCCCTTTACCTTTATCATCATCAGACTCATCTAGGTCTGAGCTACCCCATTTGTAACACCCCCTTTCTATACCCCCAAATAACACAATTAAGTCATTTAGGCACGAATTAAAAATTCCATCAGTGTATATTTATTTCATGGTATGAAAGAAGTGTGTCACATTACTCAAGAAACGACCACATGAATATTAATGTTTATAAAGAAATAATTCAAAAGGGGTAAATCTCAACTAAAAAAATAAACGCATGGTTCTTAAAATAGGCATATTCATGTTTTCTGTTAAAGCGGAAGACTAAAACATTGAATTACTTAAGACATGATAAAATACAAGTACACGCCATTAGGTTGTTCATAACATTAATCACAGTTATTACATATGTAATGTATCACAAAGATACTCTACAAGCCTAGCTACCCGATGTTACATATCAGAGCGACCGACTCAAGAGAAAGGAGCTATACTCCAAAAGAAAACCTCCAGCAATCCTAATCTGCAATGCCTCATAGAGCATCATAAAACAACAGAAGGGTGAGAAATATTACCATAATAACAATGCATATAATTATGTATATAAACAATCATAAAATACATATATGCCACATTTCTCAATCAATTCACACACTCACCACTCCCACATCAACATATTGTATATATACATATGCACACTTCTCCTAACAATCACATATACATTATGTTTCATTTACCGCAAATCATATAAGCATATACAATCATACTTCTGTAATTCACATCTTTCTCACATAAGCATTTACAATCATTCTATGCATCTCAATCATTCCATACATCGCAATGTATCCATATAAGTATCTATATATAAATAGAACATCAAGCATATACAATATGCATTCATGTAAACCCACAAATATCCATGTAAACCCACATATATACATATATATAAATAGAACATCAAGCATATACAATATCCATGTAAACCCACATATATACATATATTCACATACATATATATATATATACATATCTTCAAGCATACTCACTCATGCCATTACCGCAATTCGCGTTAATTCACATAAACATCTACATTCATGTTTAACTCACCAATGCATCATATGAAGATGAAAACATGCAACTCATAGAGACCGACACACGACTCTATGCAGATGCAAATACGGTACCGACTCATTTCAGCAGGTTCAATTAAAGAACAAAAAATAACCATCGCTCACACCCCACAAGGGCACACGAGGTTCTGCAGATTCTCCGAGGAATCAATATAACCATCGCTACATACGAGGTTCTGCAAATCCTCCGAGGGATCAATAAATAACCATCACTCACACCCCACAAGGGCACACGAGGTTTTGCAGATTCTCCGAGGAATCAATATAACCATCGCTACATACGAGGTTCTGCAAATCCTCCGAGGGATCAATAAATAACCATCGCTCACACCCCACAAGGGCACACGAGGTTCTGCAGATTCTCCGAGGAATCAATCAACACAAGAATGCACACCATGATGCTTCACATGCAACATGACTTATGACACTCTTGAAATGCACACATGTTTACAAACATACTCATGCATTCATCACGTTAATCACATATATTCATTATGCACTCACAATATTTAAACATGGTTCACATTTACAATCATCATACATCACATACGAGCAATATGCACTTGCAAATATCGTGTCAAACGGCAATAAACTCAATCACATCCATCATGCATTTTTAATCAAATTAAACAATGCGTCACATATGCCAAAAGGCCACATATTCACAATCAATTCATAATCTAGGATTCACGCCATACGGCTACCTACAACACACATAACAACATATAATTAGTCATCTCAGACAAGGAATGATCGCAACCAAACCACACAATCAATCCACGAATGGAAAACACAGGAAAAGAAAATATGCTGCTGTGTTCGCTAACCTTCGTCTGGCGAAGCCTCTGACGAACCTTCGCTACTCCGTTCGCCTGGCGAACTTGCCAGCGAAGACCACTGAGACTTATTCTGGAATTACTCGCTAGCATACTCGCCTGGCGAACCTTCGCCACACTCATTCGCCTGGCGAACTTGCCAACGAAGACAGGGTGTTTGGTTCTGACTTGATTCGCTACCGTTCGCTGGGCTTCGCCTGGCGAACCTGCGAGATCAGAACTTCCATGGCTGTCCAAAAGTCCAAACCTCACAAAACCAACCGATTCAGTACAAATCAACCCCAGTAGACTTAGCCCAACACTACCCGACTAAACTACTCCGTTCATTCTCGATTCTAACCGATAAAACATCGTCTCTACCGATTGAACCAACTTCTGTCCTAAATGGAAAATGAGTAGAAAACCCCAACAAATCCAACACACACATACATAATCGTACACATTGATTAAGATAGTAAGATTTCACACCCTTACCTCGATTAATCGGAAGCTAGAAGTCGTTCTTGAGCTTTTCCAAGCTTTTCCTTCTTTTTCCTTCTACTTTCTCTTCTTCCTCCACTTTCCTTTCATGTTTTCTATTTTTCATTGTCGTTCCTCTTCCCCCATATATATATATATATATATATATATATATATATATATATATATATATATATATATATATATATATATATATATATATATATATATATATATATATATATATATATATATATATATATATATATATATATATATATATATATATATATATATATATATATATATATATATATATATTATATATATATATATATATATATATATATATATATATATATATATCCTTCCCTTCTATTTCTCTCCAATATATTTCTTCTCTTAAAATATTTGTCAATTCATTTTCTTATAAAATATCTCATCTTGACATCGGTTAGAAAACATCTGATAAATCCTCATGATTCTACCAAATAGAGTAAATCAGTTAAATCCAATAATTCACTTAAACCATACAAACCAACTAACTAGTACAATTAATCAGTTATTAAAAATCGGGTTGTTACACCATTCATCACTAAGATATTCATCATCATTTTCAAATTTGTCTTGGAAAGTACAAATTAGTTTAACATGAGGAACTGTGTTAGATCCATTTGGGGATGGATTAACTTCAAATCCACCAGTAAGACTAGTAGCTCTCTCATCCTTACTATAATCAAAGTCCTCAACACCATCATCATCACTTAGATCTATTTCAACAATTTTAGTCCAAGCCATATAACCTCCTGCTTCATAAACCCAACCCATCACCAAGTTATGAATTTAAAAACATAGTCCATTACTCAATATTTTGCCTGAATGCAATGGTTTGAACCCCACATTTGTAGAACCAGTACTTGTTTTTGTCCCTTACAAATTTACCTCCATGGTGGAAAAACTACATTAAACTTTGTGACCTAATAACCAAAAAAACAGAAACATTTTGAGATCAAAAACCATGACTTCGCAAAACCTAACCTCTGATATTACGGTCACAATAGAAAGTCTTGCATTAAAATAAACATTACAGTAACTAAAGAAACATAGTAAGAAAAACTTAATCTCAAACATTGCTCTTCCTTTGTCTTCCTTCGTCCTCATTCGTCTTCCTCCAACTTCCTTCTTCGTCTTCATTTGTCTTCCTCCATCATCTTAATTCGCGCACCTGTGTATTCCTTCCTTTGTCTTACTCCTTTGTATCCCTCCATCTTCCACATAAACTGCAATTTGAGAAAATATTGAGTTGGGGAAACCCTATATTTTAAGGGGGTAAAACACAATTACCAACTATAATGAGAAGATGACAGGGCAAAATAAATAAAGCAAAAATTAAATAAAAATTCATCTGAACTGTTAACTAAGCAAATTTCAAGATTTCATAATCTTGTGGCCAACAAATGAATCAAATAAATTTAATCTTTATATTACAAAAGAGTAATCAATTCTTTTTTACAGAAGGTAAGCCGAATGTGACTCACTTTCATGGAATTTGTATATTTAACCCATACTATAATGAATCATAAATATTTGAACTTTAGTATAAAAATGTCCACACACATGTTGCATTATGACATTGTGCAAAAATTGAATAGAGATAATTAAAAGTGCAAAATCCAAGACCATAAACATGCTGTTAATCAAGTGCAAATGAATGTCATTACTTTTCTGTCAATTTCCATTCATGAAATTTACAATCTTCATTTACCGAATATCAATCAGCTTTAAATCATTTTCTTCTTTAACTTTCAAGTTATTTTATTTTAAAAATGTTTTATATTGAAGTAATTTATTTTATTCATTGTCTTCAAAGACTACTCGCATAGACACGTTGAAATCCGTGTGAATTGTAAGATTTTTAGTAAAAATGTTAAAGTAAAACAAAAGATGACAGTAAAGAATAGAAATCCAACTAAGTTGATAATTCTGCATTCACATTCAAACTACTCAACACCAACAAAATATATTTTCACAAGTAAATAAATCTTAGGCCAAAATTATCTAAAACTCAAGATAACAGCCTTGCAGACTAAAATGATTGTTCACCTCGTTAAAAAAAAAAACTTTATAAGAAAAATTCAGTAAGATAAAACCTTAATGAAAGGATTTAAAAAAATGCAGTTTTAAAACAAACTTCTTTTTAGAAAATGCAAACAAGATTATTATTAATCTACTAGATGTTCATAGTACAAGTAATACAAGATAATAAACAGTGTGTACCAACACCATATGTTCTGTAATTCAACATTCAGTTTAAGAAAACAGAGTTATGTCTGTGTCTCCTATTTGTTGTGCCTCTTTAAATCACTTGAAATTTTCTTCTCTCCACTCCAGCTGCTTTCCATCGAATCCAAGAGTCGTTCAAGCGAATAGCTGTTCATAGACAGAGTTATTACAGTAACACAAATTGCAAGAGTGTTTAAGCTTACATCCGTACAATCAGTGCTAGGAAGATTATGTACCTCAAGTTTTCACTTTCATCTACTTCTAAGCTGGAATGAATTCCAACGACACGTTGCTCTAACTTGCTTGTTGGAGGAACCGTATCTTCTTGATCATCAGATTCAGAATCATCATTTCTATTTGGAACTGCAGTGCCTTCAAAGGGATATATCCAGTGAAAACCACACTCGACTATAGCTACTTCATTATATTGGCTTTCATCAATGAAGAATGTAAATGTAAGCTTTGCATTGTAACTGGTGTTGTTCACATCACTAATAGCTTTTACTTCTTCAACTGCTTCCATTATCTGCTTGCAACTTGCTGGATCATACCATAATACCAAATGATCCATCATCATGTACTCTGAAGGATGGACATAAGAAAAGACCGTACTAGAGAAATTGTCTCTTTTGAAACTTGTTATATAGATCCTTTCACCTGAACTGTTGTCCAAGCAGCACTCACATCCAAAATCTACACCATCTCCCACAGTGCCTTGAGAAAGAACCAAGTAGTACGCAAAACCCAACAAATCGGGAGGAAGCTCAAAAGTGACAGAAGCTTGTGAAGAAGGGTAACGGGACCAATTTTCCATGCCAGACATAGCAGGTAAGAAGTACTCAATAATATCATTATCATGATCTAAAGATGGATCTCCATTTTCTGAATTTAGTCTTGCTCTAAGATCAATCCCAACAATAGCATCGTTCAGAACAGTTTGATATGAATGTGAATCCAACTCTGTGCAGTTAAGGAACATAAAACCACGGTTGGGTTTGTCAGATGGTTCATTCGTTGAGCTCAATACTTTCTTAAGAGATCCACATTCCCAGACAAAGAAATATGGAATGAACTGTGAAAGTGAAGGTATAGATTCAAGCATATCGCAGTCGATAATTTCAAGGTATTCGAGTCGGGGAAGATACTTAATGCTTTCAGGCAAGCTTCTAATTTCAATACCAGTTAGCGAAAGATGCTCTAATGATGATAGTAAGGAGATATTGTCTGGTATTTTAGACAAGATAGAAACATGTTCAATGATTAAGATTTTTACACTCAGAAAGGCAGGGCTAGAAAGTACTTTACGTAAAGTGATGGAAACGTCATGTTCATCATCACTCCCTCTTATAAGCCAAATATTATTGGCAAAGTTTTCAGGAAGATCCACAAGACTATCACTGATAGGACTGGTAAACCATCCAATATTTTTTAAATGCAATAGTGAGGATGGAAGTTCATTTGCGCCAAATTTTGGTAAAGACAAATTCAAACCATCTACGGAAGCAAATGCGACTGAGAACTCTTGCAGATTGTTGCAATACATGGCATCAAAGTCAAGGAGAGCTGGTGAACAAGTGTTACTTGAAAGAGTCTTAAGCGACGTGCAGTTAAACATCAATAAACTTTCAAGCTTTTGGAGAAGGAAAATTGATGAATCCACTTCAGGCAAGCTTGTACAACCAGTAAGTATTACTTGTTTTAGATTTGGAGAACCAGATACGTTTGGACACTCAATCAGCTTTTCAGAGTGACTAAGAACAAGTATCTCCAAATTTGGCAAATTCTGTAAAAATTCACAATTGGTCAAACAAGTTAGTACATTTTCTTAAATCATAAAGATTTCAGATTTCAGCTTTTGGTTTCTTTTTCCATTCAAAATTACTTAACTTTTATCAAAACAGAAAAAGAAGTAATAATAATAAATAAATGGACTGTGCATACCAGTACTCCATTCCAAAGTTTTTCTAAATGGCTGTGTCTCAAGGAAAAACTCACAAGCATTTCAGGACAAAAGCTTGGAGGCAGAGATTTCAATGGATAGTCATCCCACAGAAAATGTCTCAAATTTTCTGGCAATAAGTCAAGGCCGCTAGGAAGTCTTATAGACTTAATCCCCCTGCGGTTTCGAATATCAAGTAGTCTTAGGTTTGGCATCTTTGCAAATGCATCGGGTCTTAAATTTATGTGTGTACATTCCATAGCATCTAAAAATATAGCTTCAACTATCTCAGTTCCCTGAAAAATAAAATAAAAAAAACGTAAGTTGCATTTTATATATATAGTAAACATAAGTTGAGGAAGCCAAGTCATGGTATCATTTTCTTACTCTATCATTTTTCAATACATCACAAACTTCTTTAGGATCACACAATCTACTGCGTTGTCCGGGATTCTTAGGAAATTCTTCACGAACAACTTGTTTGCCCATTTCTTGTATCAAGTCATGCATTTGTATGCATTCGTTTGAGTCAACACTTATAAGAGCCTTGTCTAAAAGATTTCTTATCCCTATTTCTGCATAGAAACCACACTTATTTAATATTTTTGTTATCATATCCCTTTTATGTCCTTTGAAACCAAATGCAATGTCTAGAAATATGTATTTCTCTGTATCATCCAGTTCATCATAACTCCATCTCAAAATCAAATCAATTTCTTTGTTGGGAAATTGTTTGAGCTTAGCTAGTGCACAGTTCCATTCTATTTCACTTTTACAACGAAGAAATGATCCCAAAAATTTCAAAGCTAAAGGGTTGCCTTTGGCATAATCAATTGCTCTTTCTGAGAGATCCACGTATCCCTCCTCAGGAAAAACTTTGTCAAAAGCATTCAAGCTGAAAAGCTGGAGGGAGTTTTGGGAGTTCATCTGCTTAACTTGATGAATTTTGTCAATTCCTCCACTTTCCAGCACGTGCTTATCCCTAGTTGTCACAATGACTGTGCTACCAGCTCCTAGCCAACAGTATCTCATCCCAATCAAGTTTTGCAGGAGTTCTAAATAACGAACATCATCTAATACAATGAAAGCTTTCATGCGTTTGAGTCTTCTCATGACTGCGGATTGCGTTACTTTGGGAGAGTGAATATCAAGATCTTCCCTTAGTAACTCAGAAAGAAGTTTGTTGCATGTGTAATTGATTCCATGCCTTTTTGATTCTTCTGCCACATTTTTGAAGAAACACCTGCCTTCATATTGAAAAGAGAACTTCTGAAAAATGGCTTCAGCAAGGGTTGTCTTGCCTATGCCCCCCATGCCCCAAAGTCCAATGACTTGAACTTCTGCTGAATCAATTTTTAGTAAAGATTCAATGCTCCAATAGTTTTCATCGAGTATGAAATTACTTGGAAGCGCATGTTTGAACTTGTGATCTAATTTTCCTAAAACAAATCTTGTAATTTCTTCAATCATCTGAGATTCAGTCCTAACATATATACAAAAAATATGAAATAGAATTTGAAGTGTGAACAACACAACACAGTACTCATACATTCACAAAAATAGATGAAATGAGAGGATACCCGAATGCAGTAGAATGAAAACCAGATAAATTTGCAGCTTGAGAAAGAACATCCTTCCACTTTTGAATCTTGTCTATGTGTTGCTTCTGGTGTTTCGCAAATGCAGTGGCGTAACTCCCAGTCTGCTTCCGAACATGCGAAGGTTCAATTTGGTAGAAAACAGGAATAACAACAACTTTTTCCGGTTCATTTTTGTGGCACTCCATAATCTCAATAAGTTCATTCAAACACCATGTTGAAGATGCATAGTCGTCTGAGAAGACAACAAGAAAGAGAGTTGATTGTTTGATTGCTTTCACAAGTTCTTCCCAAACGTGGTTTCCTTTTTGGATTCTGTAGTCTATGTAGGTCTGGAAATAGCTTCGGCACAAAGAAGCGTGAAGATGGCTTGTGAAACCAATACGAGTGTCGCCTCTAAAGCTGATGAAAACATCATATTTTTTAAGATGTAAAGTAGCAGAAGCGCGAGAGGAAGAAGAAGCCATAGCTATGTATGTGTTCTGATTTACAGAAATAGAATGCCAAGAGAGATATAAAATACTGTAAGGCGTGTGGACTTTTTTTTTCATAGTGGTTTTTACTCACCACTTTACTACGCGACGGAGAAAGATAGAAAAGTGGAATACGGCGTTTACTTCTTCTTCTTCTTTTTATTTTATGTTATTGAAATTGAATTATATTATTTGGTTGGTTTAAAGATATATGAGTAACTTTTTTGTAACACTTCTATATCTTTGAATTTTGTTGATTATATATCTTTGTAAATAAAATAATACTATATAATATCTTTTCCGTTGCAAAATTTGAGATGGTAATAATTATGGAAATTATGGCGGAACAGAGTTTTTTTTTTTTACCAAAGGTATTGGTGTTGATGCGATGTTGTTAATGGTATTGTCGTTTCTGATACGCTGGACTGTAAATTTAAAGTTGCGATCACGATTCTCTTTTACCAAAGGTATTGGTGTTGATGCGATGTTGTTAATGGTATTGTCGTTTCTGATACGCTGGACTTAGGGGTTACATGCATGGTTAGAACTCCAACGTCCATTAGTTTATGATTCAAGACTGAAGGTATTGAAAAGTGAAATTAGAGATTGTGTACTTTAGATCCCTTTACGAAGGTATATATACCTTGGGCCTGGTGGAGTAGGCTAGGTAATGGACCCCGTGCTATTGGACCTCTGGTCGACAGAAGTGGTCGGTCTCGGGTCTTTAGTCGACACAGAACAATTACCTCCAAGACTTGTCAGGCATGTTTGATGTCGAGGAAATTTTTTAGTAATAACGGTCAGCCTCAAAGGAATTTTATCCAAGCGTCGGCTGGCATGCACGACTTTGGTTTTGCCAAAGCGTGATGCGAATGCGAACATTGAATGTAGTCTCATCATCGAAATGTTTCACCGTTTTTCTTTGACGTGTGACCTAAAAATGTATGGGGTGGCGTGACACAACTTTTCAGTGTACTTGAGTACACTCGAGTGTGGTTGTCTTCCCTCGCACTGATCCATGTGGAGACGACATAAATCCCGAAGGAAATTCTTCTGAAAATAATATTTTTGTTTGCCGCTTTACCGCTCTAACAAAATGGCGCCGTTGCCGGGGATTGGTTTTGATATTGAGCCACATTGCGATAGTTTTTATATTTTTAAGCTTTGCACATAATTGTATATATGCTTGTATAGATACTTGTTTTGCTTTTGTCTTCCATTATGTTTGTTCAAGTGTTGTGTATATTTTGTTCCCGTAATGTTTGTTCAATTTTGTTGAAGCGGTAAAGCGGCAAGCAAAAATATTATTTTCGAAAGAATTTCCTCTGGGATTTATGTCGTTTCCACAAGGATCAGTGTTAGATCCCAATTAGATTAGTTATTTGACTTCTTTTTAGTAGTATTTTTAATCATTTTTATCTAATAGTATTTGATTTAGTGGTCAAATTTGTTTACTTTCATTTTGATGTGATCCAAGTGAATGGTGTGTGTAATATTGCTGTTAGTGTGCAGGATTGACACTAATAAGAGCACCTTGGGAGACAAGACAAAGCAGCTTGGAGAATGTTGCAAATCAAGGCATTCGCCTGGCGAAGCTCAGCATGTTCCAGCGAATGTTCGCCCGGCGAGTGTTGGCGAGCTGGAGCGAATAATTCAGAATTAACTCTCAGACTCAAATGATAGGAAGTTCGCCAGGCGAAGGTACCAGTGAAGCTTCGCTACCTTTCGCCTGGCGAAGGTGCTGGCGAAGAAATGGTAGCTTTCCTCATGCAGATTCCAGTAGCAAAACCACCCAAAGTTCGCCTGGCGAGTGAGGCCAGCGAATGTTCGCCTAGAGAGTGATTCGTTCGCCTGGCGAATACACGATACCTCAGAGGGCGGTTTGCTAACCTGAAGCACTTTGAAGTGCCAAGTTTTACTTGGTTCACCTGGCGAAGGTCATGGTTCGCCTGGCGAATGTGCGCTGACAGCACATCTTTTGTACTTTGTTAGTTGCTTTATGTAGCCCATACTTGGCATTTTTGTAGAAAATAATCTTGGAACATTACAAGAGAGCTAAAGAACTCTAAAAACATTAGTTCTTCTTCATTTTTATTGATTTTGTGCAATCAAGGAGAATTGGAATCACATCCTTCATCGATTCTTCGAAGTGGATGTTCTTCATCTTCTCCATTTTCTTCTACTTCAAGCTACCATGAAAATGAGTAGCTAAGTTCATTTTGTTGTCAAGGTTAGATGTAGGTAATCATCTAACTTTGTATGTGTATGGATGATCTTCATTTGTAAACTCTTGGATGATTAATATATGTTGAAAACCTTGTTTCATTTACAATCTTTTGTGTTGGTTAATGATTGAGAAATATTTCCCAACTCTTGACCTAGGTTTTTATCCTTTTCTTTTCTTGAGCTAGAGATAGTCTTGGATGATTTTGTTCACTTAAAATGTTAAGCTTTAAAGTTGTCATTTTGATAGATTGTGTGAGAGATCAACAATGGATCAAAATGGTAATCACAATATGAGTTAGAGATAATCATATTGAGAGGATATTATGAATGTGTTGATCATTAAAAAGAGTTTATGAAATGTTGATTGAAATTATGCATGCAAAGTGATTATCGAAACCTAACTTTGGCAATGTTTATTCAAACCGACAAACCCTAATTTTTTACCGTTGTTTATAACTTTGTATGCAAGATACCGACTTGAAAAACCAAACCCCTTTGATATTATAAAACTACGAATTTAACGACTGTCGAACGGCGGCAAAATCTTATATTCCCTGTGGATACGATAATACAAACCCGACACTTTACCACTGTTCTAACAATCAGTGTGAGGGAAAGAATATCGTTCGACAATCTCTACGTCTCTAAACTTGGGTTTAAATGGTTTGGGATAAAAATGCAAAAAGAAAAACATAAAACAAGAAAATAAATACATTCTTAAGAAATGAGAAAACTCGTTAGGAGTTGTATTTCGTTCTACCCATCATGTACTAAAAAATATATGGATCAAATGCACGCAACCTAAATCGCTCGTCAATATCATCACGTATCGCTCACAACAGAGGTTATGTCTAACGCAAAGTCGAGAGATCAATCGTATCGTCTCATCGGTGATGTCACACGCAACTCGACAACACGAAGCATTAAGAATCGATACCCACGTGAATATTTGTCCTAAATCTATGTCTAGAGTTTAGAATCTAACAGATGTTCATCTTAGGTCGAGTTCGAACCGTATATGTCTATAGCAATTCAAACCCATTAAGTAAAAAATCAAGATAATCATCGATAAAGAGTTGTAAAAGAGATTTTATACAAAGATTCATAAATATACATAAAATTAAGATAAACTTACATACAAAACTCCAACAAATAAAAAATACATAGAGAGGAAAGAAGAAGAACACAAATCTCACGGTTTGTCAACTCTGTTTGAAGTGGATTCGACTCCGGATCATCAAGATGCACCCTCCAATGTTGTTTCTAAGCTAAATCTATTCAAGAATGTGTTTGATGAAGTTGGGGTAAAAAGTTCTCAAACAACATAACCTAAAAAATGCTGAAAAAATGACTTAAATAGGAAAAATGGGTTTCTGTGTTCGTCTAACAAAGTCTTGTTCACACATCAAACTTATGCATCTCTCGCTACTGTCAAAATATTGTTTTTCACGCGTTTTAGAACTTTCTGTTTGCACTGCGAACATGACAGCAAACCAACACTTGTTTTGACTATAACTTTTAAACCGTAACTCTGTTTTACACGCGGTCGGAAGCGTTGGAAAGCTTATTCAATGCTCTATAAGATAATGACAAAATATCATTACTTGTATACCTATAAAAATGAGAGAAAAATAATTAAACTCAATGATATTTACATGATACGCAATATATACATTATAACGTAAACTATACAACATATGCACAAAAGTTGAGGTTTATTTGTTAAATTAAGTCAATAAATGCCAATTATTTACACTCAATATCACTATAATTTAGCACTTATCAACTCTCACCAACTTAAACTTGTTTGTCCTCAAACAAGAATAGGTCAAATTAAGGAAACAAAAGTAACAATCTGTTAGATGCCAAATTTCACTTATTTGATCTATCAAAAGTTGGCATTTTTCACTCATTTTCGTCAATTAAGTGTAGAAAACCACTCTTGTTTTGTTTGGTTTGCAATATAGTGTGAAAAGCTCTTGGTACCTTTGATTTGTGTGTTATTGTGCAGGAATTAGGCACAAAACAAGTGAAGAGTAAGACACAAGAAATGGGCAAGGAAACCAAGACAATATGCAAACCACCAAAATGCTGTCATGCTCATTAGGAGAAATCAAAGCTGCTGGAAGAAGCTGGAATCTGTCATGTTCGCCTGGAAAAGCTCAGTGAGTGCCAGCGAATGTTCGCCAGGCGAGTGTTGGCGAGCCAGGGCGAGTAATTCTAATGAAACTCCCAGACCAAAAGGACATAAAGTTCGCCTGGCGAGTGGAGCCAGCGAAGGTTCGCCTGGCGAGTGATTCCTTCGCCTGGCGAAGGCGCGATATCTCAGAGGGCAGTTTGCTGCTGGAGGCACTTTTAAGTGCCTTGGTTCTGTTGTTCGCCTGGCGAAGGCCCCTGTTCGCCTGGCGAATGGGCGGAAACAGAACACCTTTTGTTCTTTATTTAAGTGCTTTTTAGGTCATAAATATATCTATCTTTTTCATAACTTGTAATTTTCCATTTTCCAGACATCAGAACTTATTTTCTCTTCATCTATTTTAGAGAGAGAAGTACAAACCCTAAGAGGGAGGAGGTAAGATCTTTGATCTCTTGTTGGGGTTTGAATGTAATCTTTTGATACCTTATGTATTTCATCTAATATATGTTTGTGAACTTATTTTGGATTCTCTATTGATTGATTATCTTTGATTGCTTGTATGTGGGTCTTGGCAAAACCTTTTCGCATTTTAATCTCAGATTTTCTTCTATCAATGAACAAACTTTTGACA